GGATTACATTAGAAAGCTCATACACTATGACCAAGTGGAATTTATTCAGAGGATGAAAGGATGATGCAATATCTGCAAATCAATAAATGTGATACATCACATAAAGAAATTGAGACACAAAAATCACATATCAATTGATGAAAAAAAAAGAATTTGACAAAATCCAACAATGTTTCTTGATAAAAACTCTCAGCAAAATGGGAATAGAGGGATTATACCTCAACATAATAAAAGCACTTATATGACAAACCTACAGTTAACATCATATTTCATTGGCACAAAGTAACCTCATTTCCCCTAAGAACAGGAACAAGACAAGTATGCCCACTTTCCCCACTCCTGTTCGACATAGAACTAGAAATACTAGCCATAGTGATCAGACAAGAAGAAGAAATAAAAGGCATCCAAATTGGAAAAGAAGAAGTAAAACTGTTTTGATTTGCAGATGGCATGATACTATACATAGAAAACCCCAAAGACTCCATTAAAAAACTACTAGACTTAATAAATGAATTTGGAAATATAGAATGACACAAAATTAACACCCAAAAATTTACAGCCTTTTTATACACCAATAATGAACTCACAGAATGAGAAATGAGAAAAGAAATCCCATTTAACACTGCAACAACAGCAACAACAAAAATAAGATACCTAGGAATAAACTTAACCAAGGATGTAAAAGACCTGTATGCAGAAACTATAGGACATTGAAAAAAGAGACAGAGGAAGACATAATCAAATGGAAGAACATACCATGTTCATGGAACGGTAGACTCAACAGAATTAAAATGTCCATACTACCTAACACAATCTGTAGATTCAATTCAATATCTATTAAAATCCAATGGAATATTTCAAAGATCTAGAATAAACTCTCCAAAAATTCATCTAGAATAAAAAAGTACCCCAAATAGCCACATCTATTGTGAGAAAGAAGAACAACGTTTGAGGGATCACAATACCAGACATCAAGCTATATTACCAAGCCAGGGTTTGCAAATCTTCCTGGTGCTGTCACAAGAACAGACATATAGACCAATGGAACAGAATAGAAAACCCAGAAATTGACCTAAGCCATTATACTCAATTAATATTTAACAAAGGAACCAAGAGCATACAATGGAGTAAAAACAATCTTTTTAATAAACCGTGCTGGGAAATTTGGTCACATACATGCAAAAAATTCTCTCTCATCATTGATGTTTCCATCTCTCTCTCCTTCTCTCTTCCTCTCTGAAATCAATGAAAATATATGTTTAAAAAAGATTAGATGTTTCAGAGTAACAAAGCTAAAGATAAATAAATGGAAAGTTTCTAAACACATTGCAAAGATTTTTATGTGGATAAAGGTATGAGAGCGGGAAATGCCCTAAATTTAAATCTTTATAGCTGATGGTTCCCCAACAGATGATGCTTTTAATTTGCCAATATTTCATGATTCCCTTAGGATTAGTTAAATCAACGTTTTCTCTGTTTGATTATGAATATTCTTTGCTTACTGTGTGTAAAACTATGAAAGAATTATTAATGAATTTGCTGCATATACAGGTGTGAGCAAAGTAGGTTTATAGTTATACAAATGGAAAATGATATAATAATTAAAAATATTACTATAAGAATAAACTGTTGCACAGACTCACAACTGTTAATTTACTTTTGCCATATATATATATATTTTTTCCCCCCACACATATAATATACACACATTTCATTTCTATGCTACAATAATAAATTTAATTTTGTAATTTAACTCTGAACTATTGATTTTTATATATAGTATAGTTAATATAATGTGACATTTCCACTATGAATACTAAAGATTACTGTATTTGCTGTCTACAGTCCACATGGGCAGAACCTCAGTGTCTACTGAAAACAAGCTATGCATGTGACTCCTGGGTCACATGAAAAGCCCATCCATGTAACATTAAGAAGAACTCCCATTTGACCCAGTAATCCCACTCCTAGGAATATATCCCAAGAAACTAGAAACACCAATCAGAAAGGATATATGCACCCTTATGTTCATAGCAGCACAATCTACAATAACTAGAATTTGGAAACAGCCTAGGTGCCCATCAGCAGATGATTGGATAAAAAAAACTATGGTACATCTACACAATGGAATACTATGCTGCCATAAAAAAGAAGGAATTCTCATCATTTGCAGCAACCTAGATAGAACTAGAGAACATCATGCTGAGTGAAATAAGCCAGTCAATGAAAGAGAAATACCACATGACCTCACTCATTTATTGATATTAAAGAACATTATAAACTGATGAACAAAAAGACAGATATAAAAACAGTAAAGCAGCAAGCAGACTGTCAAATTACAGTGGGGAGGGGAGGGAGATCTGGGGGAGATAAGTGATCAACCAAAGGACTTGTATGCATGCATATACGTACAAACAATGGACAAAAAACTCTGGGGAGGGAGGGTAGGTATGGGAGGGGGGGCAATGTTAAAATATGTACACAGATAATAATTTAATAAAAAATAAAAATAAAATAAAAACAAACAACAAAAAAAGAAGATTATTGGAAATTTTTATTTTGTGGTTTGTTTTTTTTTCTTCTGTTTGGTGATTGTTTGTGAAAACAGCCATCGAATTTCTGTTGAGTCTAAGTGTTGTACAGCAGTCTGATGGCTATTTACTTTTTTTTTCCTGAGGCATATCAGTCCAGCTATCTTACTATGTTGAATTTGGCAGATATAATATTACATGTTTTCTTTCATTTTGCACCATTCCAAATTGTGGGAATGGCCCACACATCTTAGGTTCAACTTGTTGAATTGATATTTAATGTTATCCCTTTAATGCTTGACAACAATACCTCCATACTTCATAGCAAGCTATAGTTAAGTGAGACTTCTGACCCTTATCAGGATGCAATAAATATTTCCTTCTACTGACTGCTGCTGAGAGGTAATATCTAGGCATTTCATAAAACCAGCATGATGGTTTTGCTTGGAGGACTGCATCTGTTAAGTATTTTAATGTGCTCTGGTTAACTTTTAAAATGTATAGACATCTGTGGCTGTAAAGGACTTAGGAAGTCATACAATCCACACAACAGCCACATCAACTCTGTATCTGCCTTTAAGTAGATTTCCAATTTATGAGAGGCTGGTATGTTTTCTTAAACATCCTAACTAAAGGACTTTCTTGACTCTCATAAGTCACTCATTTTCATAACTAATAATCCTTACTGTTAAGGAATTTTATTTATATTCAACAGACCTGGAAACTCTCATGTAAGAGCAGCTTCTTTTAATCTGCCATAGTAAATATTGGAAATTATTGCTTTTCTTGGGAAAACATAGCAAAAATGCAGAAAACAATTACAAAACAACTCTTAGTCCACTCTTCTCTAGAATGAATAATTTTAATTCTTCTCTATACCTTATTTGAATACATTTTACTCACATTTTTTCTAGATTCTATTTAAATTCTTTATATATTTTTAAAAATGTGTATTCCCAACATTGGGAGACACAACCCTGAGATTAATGTGTGGGCGGATAGGAATCGTATCTCAAAATATTAATTCTTCCGAGAATTTTTCCTCTTATACTAATCCCAAACTACTGAAATCCAATTATATGGAGGGAAAAAAACACAAATAGTGTCTGACAATATCATTTCTTGCTTCAGTCCTCCTCAATTCCAAATCTGTATATAAACCATGTTTTTCCATTTCCATTTTTAAAACTCTTTTAGAAAAGAAAAATTTATTCTATACATTTTCTTAAGTTCTCCATTTTTTACAACATTCAAATAACTCCTTACTGGCTGTCAAATCAGTGATTCAACAAGGATTCTAATCTCCAAACTATGTATATGGCACTGTGCTCAGCGCCCCAGAGCCAAACTGCTTCCATGGGAGCTGTCTTAAATTGTATGGTTACCTCAGGGCTTAAACTTGCTTTCCAGTGTTGGCAAATTTTGCTATGATCAGATGCCTTTCTGAAAAGGCAGTATTCTGTTTTTCAGAATCTCTTAGGGTCATTGACTTATTCACCGTTTATTCAACAAATACTCATTAAGCATATACTATGTTCTAGGCACTATTTGGGTGCTGATATTTAATGGTGAACTAAAACATGCTACTTTACTTCATAGAAATTTCAATTTAGTGGAGGAAGTAGACAGTTGTCAGAGAATTCTAAATGTTGTAAAAAAAAAAAAAAAGATGTGTAATGTGTTGTGAGAGCATGTGCTAGTAGCACTTGTCCTGTCAGGGAGGGGAGAGAAAGTCTCATTGAGAAAGAAATTCCCAAATTAAGATCTGAAAGCAAAGCATGGGTGCCCAAGATTCTCACTAACCTTCATAGTATCACTATACCTATTCTAAAAGTCATTAGAGTTTTTGGGAGAAGATGGAGATTAAGTATGGAAGGTTAGAGCCAAGATGATAGTTGTATGCTATAATTACAGTAGAACTGGAGGGCGAGGAAGCAAGTAGCAGGTATGTAGATGGGAAATCTTTTAGGAACAATAATATGCTCCTTTGCCACTGGAGAGATCACAATGGAGAAAAACCCTATGAGTGTACTGATTGTGGGAAGTCTTTCAGGAGAAACAGTTACCTCTCTGAACACAAGGGAATTCACACTGTTGAAAGATCTTTTGAATGTACTTATTGTGGGAAGTTCTTTATATTAAAGGGGTACCTCATTAAATACTACTGTGTCCATACTGGAGAAAAACCCTATGCGTGTACTGATTGTGGGACATCTTTAGGAGCAACAATAACTTACTTAACCACAAGAGAATTCACACTGGAGAAAAACCTTTTGAATGTAGTGATTGTGGGAAGTTCTTTAGACGAGAGTCTACCCTCATTTGACACTACAGTGTTCATACCAGAGAAAAGCCTTATGAGTGTAGTGATTGTGGAAAGTTTTCGACAAAGACATTTGCTCATGGACCACCACAGAAGTCACACTAGAGAAAGAGTGGGAAATGTTTTAGCCTTGTTAGTTATGAGAGTTCACATTGGAGAAAAGCCTTAAATGTGCAGAGGATGTTTTATCTTTCTCACTCTACAACATTAAAGGAGACTTAAATCCATTTATCTGAATATAAACACCTTTTATCTAAACACTAGTAGCCTTTGACATGATATAATGCACAGTAGGCCTCGCCAGAGCTGGCAGGAACCACAGTGCAGCGCCCCAGAGCCAAACTGCTTCCATGGGAGCCAGGAGGAACCCATGCTAATTCTGTGGGAGGAGGGAGGGACCCAAGCTTCTTCTGCAGGAGGCAGGCCCACTATCTCCTCTTCAGATCTGCTCTTAGCCTCTGAGGCTGCAGGCTGGCCTCCCTGTCCCCTAGAGGCCCTTTGTGGCTGGGGCAACATCACAGCAATGAAGTAAGCATCCCACACCAGCTGCTCTGCTCCCACTGCACAGAGGCCTTCTACTGCCATGGTAATGAAGCAAACATTCTTCCAGGCTGCATAGGCTGCCCTCTCTCAGAGGCAGTCCTCCCAGGACTGGGTGACTCCTGCAAGTGACTTTCTCTACCACCTGTCTCAACTGAACAGTGTGCATAAATTACAACCCTCGTGTACTCAGGTAAAATAAATTCTGTTTCTCCCTTGTGCTTAAGTGAATTATGAGTATTCTGAGATCTTAGCAGTATTTTAATTCCTTACTCTCTCACTAGAAAATGCATCTGACCCAGGATTCATGCAAAGCCCCATTCTCAGCTAAGAAGTGCTACCTCTTTGAGGGACATTGTGGTTCTCACCTTATGCAGTGATGAATTGATATAAACTGATTGCTGTACACTGTTCTGTTGTATGATGTTTTTGTAATTGTTATTTTGCTTTTGTGCCTATAATTTTGTTGGTTCAATTAACTTGCTGGTTGATTTGAAAGCATAATTGTGATGTGTCAGCATGTAGAGTTGGCAGTTACTATGGGGATCTCAAACATTTTGTGCTTCAGAAAGGATAGCTTGATGGCAGAAAATCATTCTTTGTCCAATTTTGTTTGCATTACTGCCTTGAAATAAATACCACATGACTTTGTGGTTGTATTCTGTAAAAAAAAAAAAAAAGTGTTGAAATTTGTCAAATACTCTTTCTGCATCAATTGATATGACTATGTAGTTTTTGTATATTAATGTATTGATGTGATGTATCACATTTATTTTTTATAAATATATTTTATTGATTTTTTACAGAGAGGAAGAGAGAAGGATAGAGAGTTAGAAACATTGATCAGCCTCCTTCTGCTCACCCCCTACTAGGGATGCGCCCGCAACCAAGATACATGCCCTTGACGGGAATCGAACCTGCGATCTTTCAGTCCACAGGCCGATGCTCTATACACTGAGCCAAACTGGTTTTGGCTGTATCACATTTATTGATTTGTGAATACAGTGGTGCCTCACACAACGAACTTAATTCGTTCCAGGAGCAAGTTTGTTATGCGAAAAGTTCGTTATGTGAAACGTGTTTTCCCATAACAATACATGTTAAAAAAAATAATTCGTTCTGTAGCATAAAATATGCTAAGATGACATAAAAAAGATAAATTTTTTGTTATTATTTTTATTTAGATACATCTAAAAACATAATTTTTTTAAAAAAAACACACATTTTTTTAAATTTTAAGACAGACTAAGTAGAGTCTACCGAATCTTGCACATCTTCATCCATTTTCTGCTTTTTGGCCGATGGTTTCATGAAAAACCTTTCCAAAGTCGTTTGTTTTTCTCTTTTCTCCAACATCTGCCGGAAATAACGGACAAGAGTATCGGAGTAAAGATCGTTGATCCTGTTTGCTTCAGCTGAATCCGGATAGTGGGCATTGGTAAACTCCTGAACTGCTTTCCATTTGACCAGGATGTTCTTGATGTCAGCAGTTGGGATTGGTTGATTGTTTGATTGTTGTTCCTCGTTATCAGATGACGCTTCCCTTTGAGCATTGTCCTGTTGCTGGACCAGAAGTGCTTGGAGCTCTTCAGTTGTCAGCTCTTCTTTGTGTTCCTCAATAAGCTCCTCTACATCCTCTTCCTCTACCTCTAATTCCAACCTTTGGGCCACTGTGATGATGTCCTTCACCACTTCTGTGTCATCAACTACTGCTTCTTCCTGGGTCCACGAAGGCACAAGCATCTTCCAAGCAGAAATGAGGGTCCTTTGTGACACTTCTTCCCAGGCCTTCTGTATAAGTCGTATTGCCATAAGGACATCAAATTTCTCCTTCCAAAACTTTCGGACAGTCATATTGTCTTCACCAAACTCGCATTCTTCAAATACCTTATTAAAGAGGGCTCTAGTGTAGAGTTTTTTAAAGTTCGCAATAACTTGCTGATCCATTGGCTGAAGAATGGATGTGGTGTTTGGTGGCAAATACTGCACCTTGATAAAAGGATAATTTTCCTGCAATATTTCCTCTAGGTCTTTTGGGTGAGAAGGGGCATTGTCAAGTTTCAGAAGGGCTTTGAGCGGCAGTTCTTTTTCCAGCAAGAATTTCTTCACGGCAGGAGCAAAGGTTTCCAGAATCCATTCGTTGAAGATAACTTGGGTCACCCATGCTTTTTGATTGGACTTCCAATGGACGGGCAGTTTGGACTTAATAACGTTATTTTTCTCGAAAATTCTTGGATTTTCAGAGTGATAAACCAATAGAGGTTTGATCTTGAGGTCTCCCCTGGCATTAGACGAAAACATAAGGGTAACTCTGTCCTTCATGGCTTTGTGTCCTGGCAATTTCTTCTCCTCTTTTGTAATGAAGGTTCTGCTCGGCATTCTTTTCCAGAAAAGACCCGTTTCATCGGCATTGAACACTTGTTGTGGGCAGTATCCTTCATCCTTAATACATTTTTGAAAGTTAATAGAGAACTTTTCTGCTTCTTTCTTGTCAGCACTGCCAGCCTCACCATGCATAGTAACGCTGTGGATTCCACACCTTTTCTTAAATCTAAAAAACCACCCCCTGCTGGCTTTGAATTCTTCATTATCTTGATTGCTGCTACTTCCAGGGACGTTTTTCTTTAGATCGTCATAAATTCTCTTGGCTTTGTGACAGATAATATCTTGGGTTGTTACGTCACCTTTCACCTGCCTGTCCTTAATCCAAATCGCTAATAGCCTCTCCATTTCCTCATGGATTGAAGACCTATGTTTTTCATGAAATAGTTTTGATACTCCTTTGGCTACTTTGGCTGATTTGATTGCATCCTTATTTGTCAAAATGGTGAAAATGGTGGTCTTGCTGAGGCCAAACTCTTTGACGAGGTCACACTGTTTTACCCCACATTCACTCCTTCTAATTATTTCCTGTTTCATTTCAACAGAAATCACCTTCCTGCTTTTTTTAGAAGCCATGATATAAAAAAAAAATATTGAGTTTAACTTAAAAGGACGACTGCCGTGATACGTGCGTGATTTAATTCGTAATGAAGAACGATTGCCGCGATACGTGCTTAAGTTAAGTGCAGTGACTAACGACTGCCTGCAGTGCCTGCGCGGAAGGATGCAATACATTGGCAGCCATCGTGGAAGCTCGGGCAAAGCGGTCGTGGAAGCTCGGGCGACTTCGTTGTGTGAAACGAAGTTCGTTGTATGAATCATGAAAGGAAGTTCGTTGTGTGCAGCGTTCGCTGTGCGAGGCGTTCTTTATGCGAGGCATCACTGTATTGTATCAGCTTTGAAATCCCCGGAATATAATAATTCCCACTGGGTCATGGTGTATGATCTTTGTAATGTAATGCTGGATCTGATTTGTTAGAATTTTGTTGAGGATTTTAGCATCTATGTTCATCAGGGATACTGACCTGTAATTCACTTTCTTTGTAGTTAGTGTCTTTAACTGGTTTTGGGATTAGGGTAATGCTAGCTACATAGAAAGAGCTTGGAAGTGTGCCATCCTCTGGAATATTTTGGAATAATCTGAGGAGGATAGGTTTTATTTTTTTGAATGTTTGGTAAAGTTCCCATGTGAAGCTTTCCAGATCTGGGTTTCTATTTGCTGGAAGTTGTTGTTGTTTTTTTGTTTGTTTGTTTTTCTGCTTTGATTACATCCTTTGATATTCACCTATTCAGGTTTTATTATTATTATTATTCCTGGTTGAGTTTTAGGTTATTGTATTTTTCTAGGAATATGTCCATTTCATCTAGGTTGAGTAGTTAGTTGGAGAAGAGTTGTTCATAGATTTTTTTACAATCTTTTGTATTTCTTTGGGGTTGGTTGTTACTTCACTTCTTTCATTTATGATTTTGTTTAATTGGGTCCTCTTTCTTCTCTCCTTGGTGAGCCTGGATAGAGGTTCATTAATCTTGCTTATTCTTTAAAAGAACAAACTCTTGGTTTTATTGATCTTTTGTATTTTTTTGTCTCTATGCTGTTTATTTCCACTCTAATCTTTATGATTTCCTTTTCTACTTATTATGGGCTTTTCTTGTTGCTCTCTTTATAATTCTTTAAGTTACATGGTTAGATAATGTATTACCATTTTTTTGTGTTTTTCTGTGGTAGTCCGGTAGTGCTATAAACTTCCCTCTCAGGATTGCTTTCACTGTGTCCCATATATTTTGGATTGTTTTGTTTCTATCGTTATTTGTTTCCAGGATGCTTTTTATTTTTTCTTTGATCTCTTTGATAATCCCACATTGTTTAATAGCATGTTATTCAGCCTCCAGGTATTTGATTTTTTTCATTTTTATTGTATTTTTATTATATTCATTTTTATTGATTTCTAATTTTATGCCATTGTAATCTAAGCAGACGCTTGATATGATTTCTGTCTTCTTGAAATTGAAGATACTTTACCTGTGTCCCAATATGTGGTCTATCTTTGAAAATGTCCTGTGTGCACTTAAGAAGAATGTATAATCTGTAGCTTTGGGGCGAAATGTTTTGAAGATTTAATTCATCCAATCTAGTGGGTCATTAGGGATTGATGTTTCTATGCTGATTTCTTTGTCTAGAGGATTTATTCAGTGGTGCCATTTGGGTAGTAAATTCCCCTACTATAATTGTGTTGCTGTCACTCTCTCCCTTGGTATCTTCCAAAAGGTTTCTTTCTTTCTCTTTCTTCCTTTCTTTCTTCCTTTCTTTCTTTCTTCCTTTCTTTCTTTCTTCCTTTCT